GCAGGATGACATATGCCTGCAATCCCAACTACAAAAGTTTAAGGCCATCCTTGGCAACAAAGGGAGACCCTGTCTCAAAATTTAAAAAAAGAGCTGGGAATGTTGTTCAGTGGTAGAATAAGCATCGTTTCATTCCCTAGTGCTGGTCAGGGGAGGAGGGGGACATGATAAAATATTACCTCGAAACACAAAAATAAGTGATTTATAGAAACATTCTTAGTTTATGAAATTTAAATCACTTGTAACTCTGATAAACATGATATGGTGTTGTCTTGTTTGCATTTCTTGTAAGTATTTTAGTATTGCACCCCAGTACAGAGATTTCATGTTCACTGTTATGATCAGTATCTGTTTGGAGGAAGATGTTGAATAATTGGATTATATGAGTCCTCATCTAAGGAGAATAACAAAACAGAAACAGCAGAAATTGTTTAGAAACAGTGCTTACTTAAAATTATTATTACTTATAAATCAATGTATGTCTCTGAAAGCATATACCACTGAGTTGTGATATTTTTGTTATTTGTTTTGATTATATGTTTTACAGATAATATGATCACTATGGTACTACCATGAAAAATACTTCAACGTCTTAAAACACTTATTGTTTTTCCTTTTTGCCTCTTGTTCACATATAATCAACATTCTGAAACTGATACTCTGATGGCCTTTGATGTTTGCAAAACTATACATAAACACAGGTATTTTGTTTATTTCGATCAATTCAGTTACTTATTAAATAATACTTTTCATATTTCATGCACTTGCCCATTAGGAAAGCAAAATGAAGTTGTTTTAACTATAAAAATTTCTCAGTACGGATTGATTGTGTGGAAGATATGGATATAACAATAATTCATATTACCTGTAGTGAGAACTGAACATTCTCTATGATTAAGGCAATTCCAATTTTAAAAAGTACATTCCCCAATCTATTCAAATGAAATCTTTATTAGGTATTCAATTCTTATAGCATGAATGAAGTTTCCCTATGAAGAAGGGCACAAAGAAACAACCAGACACATTGGCTTTATTATCACTTCCTGTTCCAGAACCAAAATTACCTTGAACACATTAAAAAACTCTGTACAACAGGGTTTGAAACTGGTCTCACATGGAGATGGGAGGGAGAAAATGACAGGAAGCATTGCTTCCAAATTATAGTAAATGCCACATGCTGGGTATGTTTTTCATTGTTTGAAAAAAAAATACTTTTCTTTAAAGGTCTGGAGAAGAAAGATACCTAGTATGTGAAGTCTTTCTTCAGATATCTGAAGAAAAGTACCCTCCAGGAGAAGTGTGATTTGTTTTTGTAGGCCACATACAGAATTTAGACAAGTAGGTGGGAAATGCTGGAGAATAGATATAACCTTTATTTTCTGTTTTATTTTTCCTTCATAACCTCGTGGCTTTATTTTTTTGTTAGGGTTGATGCAAGCTACTTCACTTTGATTTCGACACTTTTCATAACACACACACAAGATTCATTTATAGAATGAAACAGAAAATTAAAACAGATCCTATTCCTGAGTCTTTTTTTGGTAATGGAATTAACAGAGAATCTGGTAAGATTGGGGTCTTCCCCCTAGAAGACCTCTGTACCAACAAAACAATTTTGCCTACAATATTAAAAGCTGTTACTGATCCTTAGGCATTAAACCATAATCCCAGTAATTGTCAGTAACTTTCACAGGTAAATTCTGACTTAGGCAAAAGGGAAAAGCATGCATGAGTGGAACTCTATGGCCCCCCAAAATTTAGAATCAATAGGAACTTTGGTTAGCAGGTGATTATCAAGCACCTGAGAGCCCAGGAAGCAACAAGCACATGTAAATTAGGTGACAAGTGACATTCAGTGGGGCGAATATATTAACAATCACAGTAATGGTAACAAAGAACTTGGCACACATAGTTATCACCTTTCTTGACATGAGGAAATATGCTGCTTCAAATGAAGTCATAGCCAAAGGATCTATCCTTCTGATCACAGCCTCTTCACAAGAAGTTTGGGTATCTTTTTTAACAGGAATTTTTAGGGGTTATTATCTAGTATGGGAGCCAGAAGAATATTTCCAGCTCTGAAATTTCATATTTCTCACGGAATACCATATTTTTAAATGTGATATTTATCTTGAAGAGTTTTGTTGAAGCTATCTTTATAATAGTTCCAGAAAGACAAAATAAATGTTTCCCCAGGAGTCATACAATACCTTAACAGAAGCATATGCAAGAATTTTTTAAATGGAAGTTAAGATTTGAGGCTCTAACAGCCCTAGTCCCTGTAGACAGTCCCTCCTGTTCTGGCTGTCACAAACCAGTGCCTCTGGGTTTCTTTCATATTATTGGTGAATTTAAGTGAATAAAATCTGTAGACACAAACAATGTTTTAGAGCACTTTTCATAGAACTTGTCAGAGTCCAATTTGTAAGTTTACTCAACTTCCTGGTATTTTGTGTGCTTCCATCTCCCTCCATGAAATTATTTTATTCCATGATATAAACATTCTTTCTGGAGTTTGCTTTCTAGTTCTATCTAGAGCATGTTGTTATTTCTTCTGGATGCTAAGTTTCCTTCATTTAAATACAGACATGTTTGTATTTGCCAGCTGATGCTTAATTCTATTGTAGATGCATTTTAACTCTATTGTCATTGTCTGCTTATTCTAAAAATTGACCTTTCCTGGAAATAGTTATCTCTAGTTCAGTGGAAGTTATTATTCCTTTTTATGTCTTTCCCTATCATGTACTACCTACGCTTTCTTCCTTAGAGTTTTATTAAGTGTCCTAAAACAGATGTTTTAAACACTAAATTCTCGAGTCTGCCTTATAGATCAAATAATCTGGCTGTTGCTTGCTCCAACCTTATTTCAGACTATTCTCTTTAACCACTATGCCTCTCCATATTGTCCTTTGTACTATTTCTTGAACAGACCTGTGTGTTTCCATCTTGGAGACCTTTGCATAGACTGCAGTGCTCTTTTGATTTTTGTTTGGCTAGAAATTTTGAATTTCACTGAAATCTCAGCTTTAATTTTATCCCCATAGATTAAGTCTTCCTTAAAAACCTAAATATAGTAGCCTTTGTATATTACTTTCCTGACATTTTCTGAAGATTACTATCGTATCTACATGGTATTTTTATTATTTATCTGTATTTATTCATTGTCTGTCTCCCCCACCAGATGTGTAATTCATTAAGGTAGGTATGTAGTTTATTTTGTTTACCAAACCCTTCAGCAGCTAGAAGAGGACCTACCACAATGGAATTTAGTAAATATTTATTGAATGAATAAACACATAAGCACATGCTCCATCACTCTAAATGTGCATGTAAGTTAACTTGGCTGAGAGTTAATTCTTTCAACGAAATTGTAACTGAACCTCTTGCAGTAATATTCTAATTCACTTTCACTAATTACTTTCGATAAAGATCTTAAAATTTTAGGGGAAACCTGCCTGTAAGTATTTATGTAAAAATAGTTTTAAAATACTACACGGTCTTTTTTGGGCAGTTAGGAAAGGGATACTCTAGAAGTTAAAAAAAAAATTAGAAAAGATACCATTGAATGAAACATGAAAGAAACTACTAGAATGAAATGTCAAAGAAAGGTATTGCTTAGAGATTTCAATTTTCATAACTTTTTTTGGTCTTGAAACTTGGTTTTCTTTGATTCCTTTTCTTTCACATAGGCTGTCAAACTGTCATTCAGATTGCCAAAGCAATGGATATATTAGTAACCATACCATGAATTTAAATTTATAAAGTTGTTTCAGGGCAGTATCTCAGACTTACATTATAAAGTTTTCCATCATAAATGTGTTGTGTAACAAAATTCTTAATACTTTTTTTCTATAAAGCTGTGTCATTTCATGTGATTTGAAGGGATATGTTTTTATTCTTAATTTGTAAATATAAATATCAAGACATTATAGAATCACTGCATGAACTTGTGTTGTTAGAACAATGATCATAAATTCTCTTACATTATTGATTTTCTTAGTTTCTCTTCTGACTGTTAAATGTTAGTGATGTAGCTTTATTAATGTGGTTTAAAATATACATGCTATAATATCTTAGAAATATTTGCGTAGAATAAAATAGTTTTCTTTGTAAAATCCTTTATCTTCCATTGGTAGGTATATTTTACTCATTAAATTAATTACAAATAGTGTAGAGAAATGTATATTTTGTATATCAATTTGCCAGAAAGAAACCCTGTACTTAAATAGTTTCAGTTTTCATAGCATTAAATATATGACTGTTTGTGAATTATTTATAAAAATCATGTGTAAAATTTTATTTTCTCATTATTGTCATGGTCTTCCATATTTATTCATTTATGTAATATGTACCATTTGTCAGTAAAAATCATTGTGTATATAACTGGTAAATATGTATGTATATCTTTTTTTACTTTAATGTCCTTCATAACTCTTAAAATAATATATTTCAAAAATTTTAGTTAAGTGACCTGAAAAACATAATAAATAAATATAAAACAATCCATTTAAGTGTAACCATACACAAACAAAACCAAATAAACAAAAAGCACATTTTGAAACATTTTTGCCCCTTATCAAGCCTTCTTTTGAGTGTGTAAAAATTGAGTTCAGTTACTAATAATTTTACTTACACTTACATAGATATTAGTGCTCATAATTTATATCAAAACGCTCTGAATCTATAAAAATATAAATAACATTTATATTTCAGGTAGTGTACTCTGCTTTTAATCTTTATGTTCAATTTTCTGTCTTTGTTAGAGATTAATATGAGAATTTTTGTCTTAATTAAAATAGTGTTTAACTAGAAAAGTATTACCCTAGAGGCCATGATGTGATTGCCTTAGCTCCAGGGCTGTCAGAGAGGGGCCTTGGGTGGCTGGAGTCCTGGCAGGAGCCTGCAGCTGAGAGCTGCCTTGGGGATAGCCACTACCAGGGCTCCTCTAAGGCTAGCCTGAGCTGAGCCAGGTCTGATGGTGCGCCCTGCGGTCCCCGCAGGTGGCAAGCACAATGAGAGACATCCAGCCCTTGCTGCTGCACTGCGACATGCTGAGCGCAGCCCAGGAGGCGCTCTACCACCCAGACATCTCCTTCAGCAGCCTTCTGCGGAGCGTGCTACTGCTCATCGTGGACAAGGGCCTCGTGGAGCTGCCAGAGGAGTTCGTGGTCCAGGTGCCCAAGGAGCACAGATTGCAGCCCAAGGTGCGGCCAGCGGTGGGAAGAGAGGGCTGGGGGTGGCTGGGCAGTGGCTCCTGGAAGGCTTAGTTTCCCCAGGCTGTGACCTAAATGTGTGGTCTTATGTATTTACCATCTGCATTCATTCATGGCTGATGTTGCCCATTCTTGGTATCCTAGCCAGCTATTTTAACAGTGCATGCCTGTTGTACATTAGAGCCTCATTCTTATTTTGAAATATTGCCATTTTTATTGGATTTAAAATATTTTTTTCATTATCACAAGAAGTTTAGTGACAATTTCAACTATTGTAAAATTTGAAAGGCTGTAAAAGATAAGCTTTAACATTTCTGATCATGGGCTTGTTTGAAAAAAATCTCATCAAAGGAAACTAACAAGACATTGAAAGGATTATGATGAAAACATCTTGGTTAGAAATTATGTATAATAATTTAAAGCATAGCTAACTTAATAGAAAAGTGGTTATTATAGAAGCAACCTAAAATTCTTATTAAAATGTAGGAAAGTACTTAATATTGCTTCTGCAGCTGTTGAGTACATTGAATGACATCCAGACTTTGAAATTCTAGTGAGGAGTGTTTTGCACATAATACTTACTCTTTTCCCCCAATAATTTACGTTTCATTTTACATAATATTTAGAAATTACAATTTTTCTTTTTTCTTCCACAAAACTACTTGCAGGCACTCATATCCATGTAATTTCTCACAGGGAATATAAACTTTATCATTTTATTTGTGTGCCACAGCATGAAAAACACTGGGAAGCATTTGGCTGGGAACAGTGAATATCAAGTCTTATCACCAAAGACAATCACCTTTTCTATCTAGTGATTTGCTGAAGGGGATAGCATACAAGAAATAATGGCAAAGGAACATGAAGCATCACTATGATTCCTGAGTTCTTCTTCTAAACTTCCTTATGGAATTAGAATACTTTGTTTCAGTTCAGGGACTGTGGGATATGGACCATGAAACCACTTCAGACTTTAGTGACCTGTGAGAAGGAAACACAACTCTTCAATTACAGCAGCACATTGAAAGGAGTAAGTAGGCTGGTAAATTGGCACTCAACAGCTTCATCCATTCACTCACTGTTCTATCCATGATCTAGACTCTCTTTAGATTAGAAATTCTTCCTTGGTGGTGATGGTTGAGGAGTGGTAGGGTGACATGCAACCAAGTGCCACACAGTTGCATTAACTTGCATAGAAACACATGGAAGGACCCAACACATTTTGAAAATTCAAAAGCTTTGTGTAATAAATATTTCTTAAGAATTCCACTTCTGCTTTCTGCTTTGCTTTACATTGCCTTTTCAAACCTGACATTCTCTAAGTTGAAAACAGCTATATTTTTTCCTCAGAATGTGGTTCAATAGTCACCAAGTTTTCATCATAATCTTGTATTTTGATTTATATTATAAAATATTAATATTAGTAATTATATTTAACTGACTCCAATGAATATATATTCATAAGAAATTCTTTTTTCACAAATGAAGAAGAAATCCAGAAGTGATGTTTACTTTTTATAAATAGATCTTATATATGTTTAAATCAGCTACTAGTGTGTGTATATGCGTGCATGCGCACGCATGCACACATACACATATACACACACACACAACTGCTAGCAATTCTGTTTCTAAAAAAAATTAGAATATCATTCAGTTAGAATATTGTTTTCTAGAACTCTTATTGAGAAGTTGACTGAATTTAAATATTCCCTAATTTTTAAATTTCAATATTAATTATTTTTACAGCTCCAGGAATTTAAATGAGGGCCTTATTCTTGCTGGGCAAGCATTCTACCACTGACTTAAGCTCCAGTCTCCCATTCCCCAATTTAGTAAGATTTTTCTATACATCTATTCTTTGGTCTTGGCCATGATTATATGTGGCCACTTACAATATAATGGTGAGATTAAATCATGTTTTTTAAATTTACTATCAAATAGGCAAATTGAATTATATTCTGCTTAAGATGTATGAAAGTGAGGGTGCAAGGCAGTTTTCATGGGATATCATAAATGAAGACTAAGCTAAATGTTATGTGCTATATAAAAGGAGCTTACGAGGGCTCCCCATAGAAAGAAAAAAGAAGAATAAGTATATAGAACTGGGGCATGATATTTTCAGATTTGGAGGATGGTACCCAGAGCTAGCTTGGACAGGTATTAAAAATGTAATAGAAGTATGAGATTCACATTATCTTGAGCTATTTAAGTTGAGAAGACACAGAAAAATTCAAATGAAAAATGTCATCTCAAATTTCCTCCCTTCCTTCCTTACCTTCTCAACATTTATTATTATTTAAAACAAAAACAACAGCCTGTTATTAGAACAAAGATAGTGTAAGAATTAAAACATAAAATAAGTACATATAGCAAAGGGTGATATTAATGTAATCAATCTGTGATTTAAAAGTGACTTTGCCTTCGAATATTAACCTGGGTTTTTGTATAGATGGCCAAACAATCACATTATAGATCCAACAAAAATAGCCATAAAAAAAAACTCTTTTATTGCTTTGGAATTACACTGTGAATTTTTTAAAAATTCATTTGACCCTTGAGAGCTAGCATTACTTGAGAGTAAATGAGTGTTTGGATTCATAGAAATTAGAGCTTCATGGTACAGCAGCCAAGCATAAAGAATTAAAAAAATGGTTCTCCGTAGGTGCTTAGAAAGTTCATTGAGAGCATCTACAAACAATCCTCCTGCAAGCCACACATACAATATGCCATATTCCTTCATGTTTTCTCCTAAAAAGCAGAAAAGGCATTTCTGGCCTGACAGGATGTATTAAAAACTCTACCTGGGCTCATTTTAAAGTTCACTTTTTGCTGTGTATTCTATCAGTCATTTTGAAAAATTACATCAACTCTACCTTACTGACCCCATCCCCCACACTCTTACCGTTTTCATATTAATAGGTGGGACAGCTTCTATGATGATGGTAAAGAAGGAGTAAATGCTATTTAATTTTTAAATTGATTTTGAACAAAATCATCCTTTAAAAGTAGCCCATATTACTGAATATTGGAGGTTTCTCATTCACTTTTCTACTCATTTATTTTTCCAACACTTGTTTGAGTACAAATGTATGCTGGGTACTACAGTAAGTCCCAGGAAGACAAAGATGAAGCACTACCCAACTTTGATCTCTCAGTGAGTCTCCTGGAACAGACAAAAGAAGAGTGCAAGTGTGTTGAATGCATGCTAGAGGATACCTCCTATCTGCACCCAGACAAGAGCAGTTCTTCATCATAGAAAAAAAAAAATTAAGACAGACTTTGTGTGTGTGTGTGTGTGTGTGTGTGTTTGAAAGGGTGCTAAATATAAGAATAATGTTTTGAGGATACATATTCTTACAGAAGTGTTAGGACTCAAGTACTTAGACTTTAGTGATAAAGAAATAACTTAAGGGGAGTTTTCCTCCCCTCCTAAGGTACTAGTTCTTCTGTTCTTTCCAAAAGCTTTTTTTGCTCACTGTAATTATAAGTGATTTTAATCTCCAATGGTACACCATTTCTCTAAGTAACAAAACCAACCACCAAATGGCACTTGCATTCTTGCGTCTTAGCTCAGATTTTCAAGGAAGAGAATTTAATCCCCATTGGGTGAAAGTCAATTTTCCTTATCTAATTACTGTGCTCCAGACATTCTATGGCCAAGGGCCCACACAATTCTGCTTGTGCATAAAACAGTGTACTATGGAGCACATGGAGGTATTATCTACCTAAATTGATTGGGTCAGAGAAGTTGATCTGAAGATAAAGTGGCATCTGTGCTGCAACCCGACAGATGAGTATTAGTTAGCCAAACAGATAGATGCAAGAAGAAAGGTACTATTATAAGGAGAGGAAGCAGTAACACAAAGGCTTAGTTCAGTCTGCAATTGGAGCATAACAGTCCTAAGGATAATTCAGTCTAGAACTAATCTATCTGCAGAGGTGGTGAAGGATCTGATCAGAAATATGAGAAGTTCAGCATTTTCCTGATGTCAGTGAATAAGAAACTAAAGTTAATTTTAGAGAAATTAAGCAAGGAGTGGCACATTTGAAAAACAAACTAGAAGATTTGAGATGAGATGGAGCTTTTGTTATATCAATTCAGATAAGAAATCTGAGTTGGTTGCATTGGTGGTTTTGACTCAAGGAGTGGATTGTCAATAGTGATGTTGAGGGGACTGTTAGGGAAGATCATTAATAGAGGGCATGCTTATGCGTGAGGTCCTATATCAATCCCTAGCACTAATCCTCCCCCTAGTAGTGGTGATGAGTGACAATTGGCATTTAGATTTATTGTGTTTCTGAGTAAGACAGAGAATAATCCAAAGGGAAAGCTACCAAGCCTCATGCTTGAGAGATTGTATGATGAATGACTGTCCCATTCACTGAGATAAGAGTGACATTGGAGATGAGAATGCTGGTAAGGAGTAGAATGTTGTCAACTGAACATTTACCCATTGAATAAAAACACAATATCCCAACCGGGTGGGTTGCACATGCCTGTACTCCCACCCACTTGAAAGGCTGAAACAGGAGGATCACAATTTCAATGCAAGCCTGGGAAACTTAGTGAGACCCTGTCTCAAAATAAAATAAAGGGCTGTGGTGTAGCTCAGTAATAGAGCACTTGCTTAGTATGTACAAGGCCCTGGGTTCAGTCCTCAGTAACTAACACAGGGAAACTGAGACAAATTTAAGGCCAACTTGGGCAACTTAATGAGACACTGCATCAAAACAAAACAAAAAGAACTGAATCTTGTTTAGTGATTAAGGTGGTGAAGCACCCCTGGGTTCAATCCCCTACATATATATATCCCCTACATATGTATATGTATATATATCCCCTATATACTATATATGTGTATTCCATATAAATGTATATCTATACACACAAAAACATGTATGTGTATATATATGTGCATACACATATGCATATATGTACATAACTGTATTATTTGTATAATCCAATATAAAAATCTGAAAAAAATAGT